CGATAACTCGCTAAATCAGAAGCATTAAATTTCACATCCTACATGACACAAACAGGCCGGTGTCAAAATTCCTTCTGATTATTTCATTTTACAGTATATAAATCAAGCATCAGTAAAGCTATCGGAATAAAACATTGAGAAATATTGCCCTTAAGGTCTGCCACCATACTGCAAAAAATTGTTAAAATCATGTCAATAATTCTCTAAGTCTCAATATACCTAAAATAGTCATTTCTGACTTTGCGTTCGGTTTTAAATTGTTTATTTAGGTCAATATGTGCGATATTTTAATAAATTTAATATTTTCTTAACCAGTAGTTGATTAAAAATGAAATCGGTTCTAAACTCCAACCCTTAACAAACATTAATATACATATATCGGACCAAGTGTTATATGACTTGATATATTGTAGATACATCGGACTAAGTGTTTTAGTTAAATACCAAATATAATTTGATCCATCCATACTTTCGTCGAATAATGAATATAGAATGCTTTCAAAATATTTTTATACTCTTGCAACATGTTGCTACAGAGTATTATAGTTTGTTCACCTAACGGATGTTTGTATCACCTCAAAACTAATCGAGACAGATATATAAATCATCAGGATGATGAGATGAGTTGAAATTGGGATGTCTGTCTGTCCGTCCGTCCGCCCGTCTATCCGTCTGTCTGTGCAAGCGGTAACTTGAGTAAATATTAAGATATCGTGGTATTGGTACACGTGTTTCTTGTAGACTGCTACGCTAACAAAACGCCATAATTCGAAAACCTAAATTGTCATAACTAAGCCGGTTTGGCAAATCATTTCGACGCCACTTGCGACAGCGGAAAAATAGGTAAAATCGGATGATAACTACTCCCACTCTCCATATAACGGTTTTGTTAAAAACTACTAAAAGTGCGATAAATCAATAACCAAATACGTTAGACACATTAAATTTTAGATCCTGGATGCCACCGCCTTCATTTAAGTGAAATCAGATATAATATTTTTGGATCTACTCCACCAATTTCAGTCAAATGGGGGACATTAGATTATTTTAACATTTCCATTCTAGAGTACGACAAAATCGGACCGCAACCATGTCTACTTCCCATAAAACAAAACTTTAAATTTCATCTGATTTTTTTCACTTTCTTGTATACAAATTGAATAATATATCGGCATTATTCGCACATATACTGCACGCATATTGCCTTTAACGTATGCCATCTCAGGTCGAAAAATTGTTAAAATCGGACCATAACTATTCAAACTCCCAAATACAAAAATGTGGACCGTAGACTCTATGACTGACTATTTACAGAAAATATCGGTAAATGTGTGACATATATTATTGAAATTAGGAGAGGATCCTTTCCTGATAATAATATGTCTGTATGTCAAAAATGGGTTGAATCGGGTCAATAGATCAGCTGACTTTATACCACATACAAGTAAGTCGGCCAATATATGAGTTATCTTATATAGATTAATTAAGCGTGTTTTTCTCATAACGACGCATCTGTGTACTTTAAATGTATAAAATCGGGTGAAAACTTGTCATAGCCCCCATATGATGATGTAAGACGATCTCACTGGGATATGTGAGGTTAATCTAATACTTGTATATAAAATTCTCGTGTCATGGTGTTTGTTGCCAAACTCCTCCGAAACGGCTGGACCGATTTTGATGAAATTTGGTGTGTTTATACGGTAGGTCTGAGAATCGGTCAACACGTATTTTTTATACCCCTAAATGTTCACCCCAAATATTATTAATTTATATTTTCTAGAAGACATTTTTTGTTTTTATTTTTACATGATTCAGCATTGAAAAATACATATACCATAATAATTTTTATGTAGTATAGTTCCATCAACCAACCAGTTATCCCCGCCATGTGTCTCCCGTTGTCACTTCTCAACCAGCAAACATCACGGAGTAGGAATAAAAATAAGTCGGCTTATTTTATTCTCATTGAGTCAAGTTAATTTCATTCTCATACCGAATTAAACATTATTTCTTTGTGCATCTCGAAAACAGCAGAAGCCGTTCATGAACGAAACAGCGCTTTATATTTTTATAAATCCACTAAAAACTACTAAAAAACTTTGCATAAATACTCCTATTCAAAAGTAGCACGCTATTGCATATAGATTGAATCAATTGAAAAAATGGATACCTCTCAAGCAAGGCACACCATACGTAAACGCAGCATTATACTGCACAGAAACACAAATTCGTCTACTATTTGCTATAGTATCGACGACATGTTTCCCGGCTCAACCACAAATGATGTGGGATAAATACAAAGATTCGATGACTGATGATGTATTGTATCGACATCGTACAAGGTGCTATCATTCAGTAACGCAATGTACAATGAAGCATTCAATACTATTGAGGATCATTGCATTGTCATTGCGAATTTACCAATTAGTCATTTCGGTATGAGTTCACCACATCGAATTGCATCTGATTCAATCAACACAGATAAAAATCGTGAAATAAAGTATGATACTGTCGAATTCTCCCACTACTACTGACAGTAAACATGCTTTATATGCTTCAAGATCCATCTGCCGAAACTTTCTCAAAACAATTGTTAGATAATGGCAATGAAGCTATTTATGAAAATAGTGGATGTATATACTCTCATTGATAATATACTTCCGGATGTACACACAAAATATAAGATTGGCTAGCAGAAAATGTGGACGTCAACGGATTAAATTCAAAGATAAAACAGTTGTTGCCAGGGACCACGGCTTTGCAATGGCGCTAGATTAGTTATTAAAAATTAAAGAAAAACATTAATGAATCCACCATTTTGAATGACAAGTTTGGATTCCAAAATGTATTGCTGCAACGACTTCCTATAGATGTGCCAATTGAATTTAAGCGCACTCAATTTCCAATTAGATTGACATTCGCAATGGCGATGAATCGCTTCCACATTCTATTGCGTTGAGTGGTTAAACTTTGTTTACTTTTAATTGAAATAATATAATTAATAATATATACTGGTATATATTAATAAGAGTATTCGTTATTAATTCCAAAATGTGTCTGTTTTTAAAAGCATTTCCTAAAAAACAATATTTCTTAAAAATAACGTATATGGCAAAACAACGTTTGTTATAAAATTAATTGAGTCTGTGACCAATAAAATAATTTAATAAAATACCAAATTTGGTCGTAATTCATTCATGATTTCGTCAAATAATGAATGCCGAATTCTTTTTCATTTTTGAACTCTTGAAAATGTTGCTACAGAGTGTAATATTTTTTTCACCTAACGGTTGTTTGTATCACCTAAAATTAATCGAGACAGATATAAGTTTACATATATAATATATGAATGATCAGGATTAGATCTTTGCAAGTTGCAAGAGTATGAAATATTTGGTTACACTTGAACTTAGCCATTCCTTACTTGTTAAATATGAAGTTTTACCAGCACCTGAAGGTATTTCCCCGTCTTTGATCCTTGCAAGTTGCAAGAGTATGTTCGGTTATACCCGAACTTAGCCCTTTTTACCTTTTTAATATGACATTTTTATCAAGTAATTCAGTATATGCATTATGATCCAAATACGCTTTTGTTAAAATAAAGCTATTGCGTACTAATGATAATGGAGCCGACATTTAAATATTAAAAGAAAAGTTAACAGCTTTTTTACTACTGGTTTTTACTTTTACGGTACTTGATCCTTGCTTTAAAAGCCAAATACTTTTTAACTGAGGAAATTGAAAGGTATAAGACTTTATTAAGAGATCAATTAAATTCGTTGCAAAGAAATATCTATTTGTACTTGCAACAATACAACGCTTAAACAGTTTTTTAGTGCAGCAGGACACCAACTTAGCGATAGACATTGTTCTGATTTTCTTTGATTTGACTTCTTTAAAAAAGTCTAGCCGTTAAATGATATTTTCCTAACTGATACTTGATGTCAATGTTTGTAGAAAAATTATATGTAAATAGAGGTATATGCAATATATTTAAATAAAATATTTATATCCATATATGTTTTATTTCCGGAATTTGTACAAAACTGTAGTCGGCCCTCATTTAGCAAAAAATATCATGTGAATAAATATAACCTTGCATCTTAGATACAACAAAACCTACTGATTTTAATTAACTGAAATCTAATATAATTTCCATATTCCAAAAACTACTTGTACCTCACTTTCATTACCTTAAAATGGATTGAATGTGTATTCTTATTCCAAAACAAAAGAAATTTCCAAGGCATCCAACGCCTCATGCGCCATGACACATGCAAATGTCCTTTTAGATGTGGTCAAAGCTTTGTCCTCGGCGGTCGCATTGGCTTTCACATTTTAATGGTTTTTCTTTTGTCGAGTGGCTGTAGACTTTACAAATGTGCATATACTATATTAAACGTTGTCGATGTATGCGTTCGGTTGTTCACGGGGTTGAGTTAGTGAAACCATATAAAATCGATTGATTTTTAAATGTCAAGTAGTGAAATTAAGTAAAATGTGTATAACTTCTCTTGTATAAAAAAAGTACATAAGCGTGTTTATCATTCATATTTATGATACTATATATATATATATTTATACTTATATACGGTGTTGAAAATATAATGCTTAGTCTAGGGTCCTACCTGTAGTATCTGGATTCGATCCCAAGTTGCGACGAACATAAGACAAGTGTTTCATAATTGTGTTCGCCTTTGACAGTTATTCGTAAGCGTTTTTGCGCCAAAAATTTCATTCACAAATATTCATTACCGTTTCATCTTTACAAAGAATCTAGCAAATGTGTATCCTATTTAAATTATTTTCAGTAAATAATTATATGCGTACATGAGTACTTCCTACAACAAACGCTGTCACAATGTACTTATATAAGTAGATTTACACAAGGACATATTCTTTTTAAGAAGTATGAACTGGTTCTAGTGTTTGCTAATTTATATCCTATTATATATAATTATGTATTGGCTTATACTAAGAAACAACCTAAGCAACAAGGAAGTTACGTTGAGATGGAAAATAATCCGAAAACAAGACAAATAATGTAACAATGAAAGATTAAATATGCAGACAAGAATGTTTGCTTGTCAGGCCTTAACGATTTTTTTCCGATACAAAATTCAGTTGTTTTGTGGAGATAAAACTCTACTAAGTCTACTAACTAAGATCATAATCAAACAAATTTTGTCGAAATTAAAGGCTGTATCCAATAAGTTTCTATAGCTTCAGATCTTATCAGAGGTTAGTATAGCTTCAGATCTACTTACTACAGATTATTAAGAAAAATTATAATATGTTTTGAACTTTACGACTTTCTTAAGATGTAAGTGTCCGCTTTCACCTACACTTTAACAGCGCTTTCGGCGATACGGATTAATTATTGCAGACTCATTAAGATGATAGAATCGGTCATATATGCAAGTTATTATTGTGCTATGTAGAGATAAAACAGTATCTAAAGCATTAAAGGAATTTCATATAGCCCACACCGCAGAAATGCAGCTCGCAATTTTTTTTTCGTTACATTATTGCGAAAGTATACCGACATAGTGTGGCAGTAACTATTAAATGCAAATCACTTTGCAAATTTATTTACGGCTTGCAAGTGGTGCACCAGTAAGAATTCTGTTTCTTTTTTCGTTATACTGCTAAACGAATTGAGTGTTGCCACAAAGTCTATTGATGAATTAATGTTAAAACCAAAATATTTTCATTGATATATTAAAACAAGTACTTTTATTTGTAAAATCACACATTTAATTACTTGATTTATTCATTATGGCTGATTTCGTACATTAGTAACTCTGAATTGTCTATTTTACAGCAATTTAGAAAGTTTCTCTTCAAATTATTTATCAAAAGGTTTTTATTCGACCCCATTTTCTAATGTGGTGGCAGTAATCATCATTTGAATATTCTTCTCTGTACAAAATTTTCACTATTCACTGAGAAATATGTAGAATTACTCATTCCGTCTCAAATATGTATGCAAAAGTGTTACGAAAAATCTTTAACGGCGTGAGAACAGCGAAATTATACGTTTACAAAATCATAATGAAGCAATTTTCCAAATTCATTTTTCAACCATGCTTTTCACAAATTCTCAGAATGACAATGGATACCACTCTTGAGGTTCTTTCACACACGGTCAAGTCGTTCAAAAGGAATTAAGTGAATATTTCCAATACGGGCCTTACAGGAAGGAGTCTAAAATTGTTATATAATATAAAACAATTTTACATACATACAGTTTAACTAGAATTCTTATTGAATAATTATATTATATTATTATTATATTAACGTACATCCTTCTTAAAAATTTTTTTAAGACATTTATTTTTAAGAAATACTAGACGACCCCAGACATACAATGCTGTGACTATGGTATTCGTTAAAATAATTATTATAAACAATTCAATGCAGTAAAAAGAATTAAAATCTGAACATTACTTCAAAATTTAAAAATGATAGAAACAATTTTTATGAGTTGCTATTAAGCACAAATCAACATAAGATGTTGAATTTTTTATTTTATTAATTTTATAATTATATAATTTTGTAACAAATGAGTAATTTTCAAAGTGGTTAGTTGATAACATTTAAGATAATGAGGTAGCTAAATTAGATCATTCTTAATTTGAACAAAAATATTTTTATTTTTAATGATAAACATTCCAAATTCAATTTAATGCAGCTCTATTCGTTGAATAATATTCTTGGTTCAGCTAAAATAGATTCGATGATTTTCCCAAACTGCAATGGGGAACTGTAACCTTCTGAACGAAATCGTATATTCTCACAATATCATTGGAATACGTGGCAACATGACCATTTCTCCAATTATTTTCAAGACAAAATGGTTGCTTCAATACCATTTCTTGGGATCGAACGTGTACCTTTGCATAATTGAGGTGGATTAAAATTACGCAGAAGAGTAATAGGTGAACAAGTTTTCAACAGAAGATTATGTGATGACATTCCGGGTAGATATGCCCACGAATTTAGAAATTCAATTGACAATTTCAAAATTATAAATTAATTTTCCCTAACCACAGTATTGATTGATTTAAAATACATTAGATCGCCTGGTAACAACTGTTCTATCTGGAAATTAATTTCATCAACATCTACATTTGTGGCCGCTATTGTAGCCCTACTTTTCCTTGAAAATACTATCAATTATAAAAATTTTTGCGATCAGCAATGTAGAAATTGCTTCTCAATATCTAGCAATTGTTCAGAATATATTTGGTCGCAATTTATGATTGAACTTTTCCTCAACCCTGCAGTTATTCCGCCAATTTTTTGTGTTACATAATGTCTTTGCGTCGTTCGCTTATCATGGTGAATTCCAGAAAAAAACCTCCTTGATCAGTAGCAACACTTTTTGTAACAAACATTCATTATTGTAGCTATATACAAGCATGTGTTGTTATTTTAGTTTTTTTTAGTACAATAATAAAATATTCAAATGATACGAATTTTGAACTCATACTTATGATTTGAAATATATCTTTTTTATTTATTAAGTGTCTTTTAACGTAACTGAGATATAAACTATTAAATTTTTTAATTTAGATCAAACTGAACACAATATGTCAAATTTTATAAAATCGGTTAAATAGTTTACTCCGGACAAAAGTTACGTCAGTTGCATTTTGTTACACCACGTTTTATAGCACGTCCCACGGGAACGGAATAAAACGTATCCTGTGTCCGCCTCCTGATTTAAAATTACTTCTCCGCCAATTTTCAGCCGAACCGATTCAGTCTTTCTTAAGTTATAAATAGGGTTTCCAAAAGCTTTTTATAGAAGTTGGAATAATATTTGATATCTACCTTTTATATTATTCCGATTATTTAAAGCTAAACAAACAAACAAAATGTTATATATTTTATACAATTAAGAACCATTTCTGATTCACAGATAGATGATAGAAGTTATTGTGAAGCATGCTTTCAAAATATTCCAAGATTTCAGAGTATTATCATAATTTACATGTATTACATAGTGTACATGTTGTATATTTTAAGAGAGTTACAAATATCATTTATAGCAGCAACGTTTGAAATAAAAGAAAAGCTGTTATTAATCTTAAGGCAACATTTGTCAATACGCAGTTTCGAGACTCGGCCAACACCGCATAACAACTAATCGTTTGTTTTCATGATTTTTGCGTATAATTTTTAATGTAGAGTATACAAAAGCCACGTCCAAACTATCTCATTGGACAAAGCTTAGTTAGCTATCAACATTTTCTCAGTAATAATATGAGAGTTGTGAACGGCACAAAACCGGTCCCAAAATCGAAAAGTCCTAAATAACACTTATAAATATACTTATATAAATGTCAATTTATGTATATACATACATATTTACACAACCACTTAGGTTTTTGTCTCTCATTACAGGTTCGTTGATCTGTTGAGCTTCAGATCGAAGAAAATATGTGGAGAGCAAGCTTCCATGAGGCATATACATACATATATGTACATAATAGCAGTGGCCTCAAAGTAATCAAAAGTATTTCTGCTCGATTAGTTGCCAGTACTATTTCGACCCTCTAACTGGATTGAATAGCTCGGAATATGTTAATGGTGTCAATGATCTGGCATTTACTCTTTTTGTGAGCTTGCAGTGTTTTTTTAGATCAAAAATTAATATTTAATAATAATTTACTTAAATTAAAATCCGCGCTTATATCAAAGAAACATTTCGTCGAAATGATGGTGTTAATTTCATAAATATTTTCATACGTATGTATATACACATCTGTAGTTACGTGTGTGCACATTTGTATTGATATCATATAAAATGTGAAAATTATAAGTCGTGGAAAAAATTCATTTGGATATACTATGTATATGCATTTATATATTGCTACAAATACATGGATACATACACAATCTACCACCTTTCTACAACATTTTTGATATATCGTACAAATATATATATAACACTGATTAAAATATTATGCTTGTTTTATTTTTGGCTCATAAGTTAATATATTTCGAAATAAATGTTTGTACATATAAATCCATATACATATGTACATATATAAATATAACAAACATGTGTATATAACCATGCATATAAATCTCTGCAAAACCGGAATTTAAAATTCGTATTGCTGTAAATTCAGTATACATACATACATAGGTATAAAATCTGTGTATTCACGAATGAGATTCCATGTGTGCTTATGGGCCATGTCGTTAGTGTATGTGTTACGATCGTTGTTTTTAATTGCAACGCGTTCTGTTCATAAGTCATCAACATGACAAATTGATTAACGCTGTTTGTTTTTGTTTTAATTATTAACCGAAAAAAATTTTACCGTTTTATGTTTTAAATACAACAAAGTTTAATAGTGTGTGGCACAAGCAGTGATAGTTTTTGTGTACCATAATAGCAATTTTCATTTTGACAACCGAATATAAATATACATAAATGTGTGTATATAACAACTGAAAAGATTTTAAAATAATACTGCAGAAAGCAAAAGTGATTTCTTTGATTTTTCTTTCGTTTTTATTTACAAAATTATATACATACATATGTACATATACACGAATTCAACTAACTAATGCGAAACATATGTATAGGCATAATAAAAAATACAAAATAAAATACCAGTACAGACAGAAATCATATTACTCTGAAACTGTATGTATATTCGTCTGTAAATGTATTCTGGAATTGCCGTAATGATTACATATTTTATATAATTACATATAAAATTCTTCATAGAAATTTATGGAGCTAGCAAACTTTGAAATGACAACAAAAAACTTCACTCATCATACTTATTACTCATTAGTGGGAAAAATATTTACACGAAGGTAAATTCTACTCAAAACTGTAATGCAACTGATATTACGTTATTTTATGACTAATTTATTATACGTATAATATTTGTATAGATACAAATAAGCATATATAATATTTTTATTGAGGTATGACCCGTGGCGGATTAAGCTTTTTGCCGCTCAAGGCCCTGTCTGATTAGCCGCCCTTTTCAAAGAAAGAAATTTTATTTATTTGAGTCCATTCATATTATTTAGATAAATTATTTACTTCATTAAAATATAATTATTAAACAATACAAATAAATATTAATAACATTGACTGTTATACATTTTTATACTCTCGCAACCTGTTGCTACAGAGTATAATAGTTTTGTTCACCTAACGGTTGTTTGTATCACCTAAAACTAATCGAGTTAGATATTTGGGGTATACTTATATAAATAATCAGGAGACGAGTTGAAATCCGGGTGACTGTCTGTCCGTCCGTGCAAATTGAGTAAAAATTGAGATATCTTTATGAAACTTAGTAGACATGTTTCTTGGTACCGTGAGACGGTTGGTACTGCCACGCCCACAAAACGCCATTAATCAAAAACAAATAAATTGCCATAACTAAGCTCCGCAATAAGATACAAGACTGTTATTTGGTACACAGGATCACATTAGGGAGGAGCATCTGCAGTTAAATTTTTTTTTAAACTAACTCCTAAACCGCTAATGTTATAATAACAAAATTCACTGGAAGTAAATGTTTTTAGAAACTCTACCCACAGTGTGAAAATAGTTGAAATCGGGTGACAAGCCCGCCCACTCCCCATATAACGGTACTGTTAAAATATACTAAAAGCGCGATAAACCAAGCACTAAACACGCCAGAGACATTAAATTTTATCTCTGGGATGGTATGAGATGACTTTATGGGAACCGCGTTCAAAATTAGACAGTGGGCGTGACACCGCCCACTTTTAGGTGAAAACCCATATCTTGGGATCTTTTTAACGGATTTCAACCAAATTTGGTACATAACGTTCTTTTCATATTTCTATGTCATAGTGCCAAAATGGGCGAAATCGGATTACAACTACGCCTATTTCCTATATAACACCATTATCAATTCCATCTGATTCTTTCACTTTCCACTATGTATATCAAGCAACCATGATTATATCGGGGTAAAACTTTACGTGAATAATACGTTTAAAGTATGCCACCTTGTGACCAAAATTGTCTAAATCGAACCAAAACTGTTCAAGCCCCTTAGTACTAAATATGTGGACCCTGGTGCCTATAGTTGGCCTTCTACCGAAAATATCAGTCAATCCACAAAGAAATCTCAAACGAGTATACCATTCGACTTTGCGAGAGTATAAAATGTTCGGTTACAACCGAACTTAGCCCTTCCTTACTTGTTTAAAAATAATTTTATTTCTACTTCATTATTAGAAAATTGAAATTTCAATAATTCCTCTAAAACATTTATTGATTAATTTATACTAAAATAGTAATCATATAAATTATTAATAGAAGCATTAAAAATTAAATTTTGTGGTTCAATTGACTTAAGATATAAAAATATTTCTTGAAATGATAAATTATTAAAACAATTATTTATTATTTTAATACAATTTTTAACTATTTGTATCCCAGAATTTAAAAGGTGAAGACAGCCATATTGATGTATCCAAGATATGTTGTATTGGTGCTGTAGGATGTTGTTTGATGAAATCTATTATTTGTTCTAACTTTCCTTTTTTTTACGCCTGGAATTTGGTTGATTTGCTTGCGCGCAGCAATATAATTCAAAAATATTGCGAAAATAAAACATTAACTTTGTTAAATTTTTATTTTCTTTGAATTATTTTTATTTTTCCAAAAATTGGGTATAGAATGAATATATTGATTTATTTTATTCTATAGGAAACATTTTGAAGAAAAAAATATTTTTATATACAAACAAAAAGATGAATTTTAAATGAATACTCAATATCAATTTATATATGTAAATTCTCCATGATTTATTGAACACCGGAGTCATCGAAAATAAAATTGGAAAAATTGTGCAATTTTTACAGCATTTTAGATAAAAGATTCACTTTACTAAAGATACAAAAAGTCAACAGAGCTTTGAAAATTCTTCAAAAAAAGAATTGCATTTTATTTCATAGAAACTTATCCGTAAATTTATATTAAAAAAAGCAAAATAAATAACGGAAATATATTATCGTTACATTATATCAGGTTTAAATTTGACATTCTGAAAAATTTGCCGTCCCCCAAATTGTGTCGCCCTAGGGTATGATATATTTTAATTTTTGTTTTATTTGTACAATATTATTCGTTTAAGTCATAATGTCATATAATGATACACAAAATTATCATATATTAATTATACTCATATAGCAATGTATTAGGAGAAATATGAAAAATTTCTTAAGACAAGTAAGGGAGAGCTAAGTTCGGGTGTTACTCAACTTTGAATACTGCCGCAAATTTCCAAAGATAAAAGCCGGAGAAATAATTTCAGGTGTGTTATATAAAATATATAAAAAGATATTCCATAAAAGTTAAACCTTCATTGACCTACAAAATCTCCAATGGATTACAATCATATCGTTTCACACTAACTTATATTATATTGTACAAGTATGGCATATACTCATATAGTTTCATTATTATATTAGGTCAAGTAAAAGTTCGTCTCGTAGAAGGCTGCGTCCCTATTGGCAAAAAACTCGGAGAGCCAATTTTCACAGGCCTCTCTTGAGGCCAACTTTTCCCCATTAAGCGTGTTCGCCATGGACAGGAAAAGATGGTAATCACTTGGTGCCAGGTCCGGACTATAAGGTGGGTGCATTAGAACCTCCCATCCGAGCTCCCGGGCTGGCGTTGCCGTGATGGAACACAATTCGGCCTCTGTTGATCAAAGATATGTTATCTGCGTTTGACCATAGGGGAGCAGTTCGTAGTAGACGATTCCTTGCCAATCCTACCAAACACACAGCAAAACCTTCCTGGCCGTCAATCCGGTCTTGGCCACTATCTGGGCCGCTTCCCCGAGCTTTGACCATGACCGTTTGCGCTCGATGTTGTCGTAAGTGACCCATTTGTCATCGCCAGTCACAATCTGTTTCAGAAACGGGTCGATTTTGTTGCGATTCAGCAGCGATTCGCAGATGGAAATTCGGTCCATCATGTTTTTTTGCCAAACATCGAGGTTATGCAAATGGTTGCAAACGGTTTTCTGGGTTATCCTTAGTTCCTCAGCAATTCAATAAGTGCTCACGTGACGGTCTGTTTCCACTATTTCCATGATTTTATCGCAATTTTCGATGACAGGCCTCCCGACGCGTGGTGCATCTTTGACATCGAAATTACCGGAACGAAACCTAGCAAACCACTTTTGTGCTACAGGTTCGTTTACAGTGTGGAGCCCATAAACTAAACTAATTTTTTCAGCCGCCTTGGCTGCTTTTTCGCCTTGATCGAAGAAAAATTGTAAAATATAGCGAATTTTCCTTTTGCTGGTGTCCATCTATGACGAGCGCTCACAACGTACTGAGTCAATCAATCGAAAAACTTTCAAAGACAAACTTTTAGCGCGAATAAACACGTAACACTAGTACTATGGACAATAACGCCATCTCTTATTAACCGAACGAACTTTTTACTTGACCTAATATTTTCCTTCTTCTTCTTTCGGAAAATAGTATATCGGACATATTGGGGCTAGAAAAAGGTCTGAACTGATTGCATTCATTTTAGCATTATTTAAGTATACTCAAAAAAATTTTTGGACGCAATTTTAAGAATACCTACAACTCACACACTCGCAACTAAATAAACCAAATTTCAAATTCAAATTTGGTTTTAACAATAAATAAAATTGAAAATATAATTAAATTAATTTAAAAATTCCATAAGAAGTTGCCACTAAACGGCTTAACTTACATAATTAAGACATGTTTTTAACATTTGCATTTAAAAATATAGCATTTTGGCTTTTTGATCGTCCAATTCGCTTAATATTATTCTGGCCGTAGAAAATAACCTTTCAGGAGGCACTGATGATTCTTAGCATCCTAATTTTTCACGCACAATTGGTGACAGATACGGATACTTATAACCATCGTAAAGGGGGAGTAGAGAAAGAATCAGCTGATCGATGTAAACAAAGCTACAGCTGAGAGGGGTCCATGGAGAAACGTCAAGTCCGCCTAGGGGTTAAATTTCTATTGACAGCCTAGATGGCCGACTTTTTACCGGAAAATGGTTGCATCTTGCTATTTTCTTTTAATTTATGAAAAAGTTGTCCAAAAAATATTGGTTATATGCAAAACTTTAATATGTTTTCAAAATAAAATAAGTTTATTTTAATATATGTTTTTAAAGGAGCGGCTATTATTGGCAAATTTTAGAGTAATTACGATATATATTTATGCCTTTTTTAACTGTGGTAACTTAATAAATATTCACCACAAAAAAATGTAAGGTGCTATTAAGCCAGAGAACTTAGTTCATTTAAGTTCTCTGATTGAATGACAGTGTTGCGCAAGCTAATTTTAAAATACTTTTTAAAAAAGAAATATATGTACCGTATTTTATACCCGTATATCATGTTTTATACAATAAAGATATTGCAACTACTTTATTTTAGGAGTCTATATATTTAAAAACTAAACTTAGAACTATATAACAATATGGTAATTTATTTATGTAAAGAGTTATATGTAAAATATTGTACATATTAAAATCGCTACATGCTGAAGTACAGAGACAGCTACCTGATATACCTACAGTATTTTATACTATAAAGATATTGCAACTTCCAAAAATAATTTATTTTAGAAGTCTACATATTTAAAAACTAAACTAAGAACTATATAATAATACGGTAATTTTGTATGTCAAAAGTTGTAATAAACTATTGTACATATATCCACCGTTAATTGCTGATATATAAAATGTAAATAAAATTTGTGATTAAATAAATATATTCTTAAATTAGAGAAAACATCGGCACAGTAACTATTTC